CACATTGCTCTTCGCTACTTCCTTGCTCGTGAGCTACAGCAGCGTGGTCAGCTGCGCCTTGCGTATGTGGCCTCTAAGGCCAACACTACTGATATCTTCACCAAGGCACTTGCGCCTTGTGATCATCAGCGCTTCTGTACTCAGCTGGGTCTTGTGCCTACCTTGCCTCACTTGCTCACCCCTTGACCTTGTTTGTACTGTTGCATATATATATACACCTACTCTTGCTTGTCTAGCCTTATATATATATGTAATCCTGCATGTGAACTGGCCTTGTGGCCTTGAACTTGTGCTCGGAATGTGTGGTGACTTTGTGATCCACCCTGAGCTTGCTTTGCTTTGCTTGACTGGTCTTGTGACCCCTTGTTCTCCCCCACTTTGCCTATGGGGGTGTGTCAGATTTATATGACATAGCTGTTGTAGGCTATAGTGGGGTAGCACATGTCAGTAGATCTGCACTGTGGATGCCCGATTGATCCTACGGGGGGTTACAGGCGCGTTCGCCTGGGGGGTTATGGGCGCACTCTGACCCGCTACTTAACAAGCCCTTTTATCCCAATGGTCTAGTGGTTGGTGGGATTCTGACAGCACATATTGGGTACGACTTTCTAGGGTTTGTACTTGTACCCAACTTTCCCTTAGTCAATTCATTCTCGTTCATTTTCTCATCAAGCAACAGAGAATGTTAATCAAAGTCGTCTCATGGCACAGCTGACAACAGCTGAAATGAAACCCGGCGAAAAGGGGATGGCGTATATCGGCCGCTATCGTGGACTGCGCGACAGACTCCTTCGATGCGGAGGATCGATATCCGAAGAAGCCTTGGTGACAGTTGTCATTACTGGCCTCGGTCCTCATTGGCGCTCCACTCGAGCTATCCTCCAAGCTCACGGGAAGATCTCCGAAGCAGCACTCTGCGCCGGAATTCACGCTGAACAGCAGTACATGGACCTACACGAAGAACGACACAAGAAGAGAGCGTCAGCACCAGAGTTCGCGTTCCACACTCAACGGCAATACAACAACACCAATCAACAGAACAAACATCAAGCTCAACAATACGTACCACCATTCTGCCATCTCTGCAAGACGTCAGGACACCCTCGCACACACTGCCCGAATCAACAGCAGTCAACGCTGCTGCAACGTCAACTTCGGCCCTCAAGCAGTCAAGTTGCTTCTACACAAGCGCATCCCACCAATCAAGTACAGTCCTCAACGACATCAACGACAAAACCTGCACAAGGCGCAAGAAACATCCTAAGCTGCATGGCAAGAACAACAGACTCCTGCATCACCGGATCACCACCATACTACTCACCAGAAGAACAACTCGACGAAAGCACCCCTCGCCATGAATCATTGGAGCCGAATCTGACGTACGCAGCCATCGCCTAGAGTGAGCCGTCCGGGAAAGACACCTGGTTCTTGGATAGCTGTTGCGGACAGCACATATGCTCATCAGGTCGCTTCGTTCAACGGGAACACCAACTTCAGCGCGAAGTCGTAATCACCGTCGCCAACAACCAGAACCTGCGCACACGACGACAGGGGATAGTTCAACTTCAGTCTCGAGAAACCAACGTAATTCTGCAGATGTTTAAGGTTCTTATCGCAGAAGGACTCGGCTATAACTTACTCAGCGTCAATCAACTAATGGCGAAGGGAATTCATCTCGAAGCAGACAGCACCACCCAGGAGTTCAAGCTGTACCACGGGAAACGTGGGCTCTACATCGGCAAGGCAGTCTAATAGAACAATGTCTTCGTTCTTGACTTCGTTCCAGACCAAGGCACCGCCGACAGTGACTGCCATCGTCAATTTCACCTCTTGAACACACCCGCTAGATCTCGACCCCGGCTTCAGTCCTGGAGGCTTCTGGTACTCGCACTCTATACATGAAGCTGAACGAACGAGAGCGTTAGTGACAATTCAACAAACATCGGCAGCAGCAGAGAAAACATCAGCAGAAGCAGAGACAACACCGGCAGCAGCAGAGACAACACTCGCAGCAGCAGAGACAACGCCGGCAGCACCGAGGCAACACCGACTATGACACCAATCGCGGGTCCTTCAACGGCACCAGTTTTCGTCGACGATACTCCACCGACTCCTGCGCAGCAGTTGACTCCAACTCCACGCGAAGTTCACAGAAGCGCCAACCTCACCGCGGGATTTAGCTCCAACTCCAATATGTACGTGCGTTCACCGAAACCTTCGCGCCAGTTAGCCGACACACCTCACTACGGATTCTTCTCGCGATAGCCGCCATGAAGCGGAAGAAGCTCCGCCAAATCGACGTCGCCAACGCCTTTCTGTACGCTCCCGTCGATGCTGAGATTTTCGTCGAACAACCACACGGCTCTAACACAGACCCCAATCAAGTCTGTCAGCTACTGAAATCATTGTACGGCATCAAGCAAGCTCCGAGGCTGTGGCAGCAGTATCTTCATGCCCGACTAATTCGCATCGGATCCCGCCAACTACCGCATGACCAAGGAATGTACCGACTCACTAAGGGGACCGACTACATCCTGCTTATCGTTTACGTAGACGACCTACTCTACATCGGCTCAACTGACGACATCATGACTTGGTTCGAAGGGGAGCTGCAGTGGAACCCCACGCTTACCGTCTCGTCTACCGTAACTCAGTACCTGGGACTCAACATACAAGAAGGGGAGAACACGTCTATCTGAGCGCTGCAAAATACGCCGACACCATCGCCAAACGCTTCGGACTAACCCCAGCTACCATCACTACACCATATCGTTACACCGACGGAAATCGCAAGGAAGCCTCCGCTCTACTCAAATCCGCCGGCATTCGCGACTACCAACGAAAGCTAGGCTGTCTACTCTTCGCAGGCGTTACCTGCCGACCGGACCTATCTTACTCAGCTAGCCAACTCGCCACCTACCTTAAGAAGCCTGAAGCAAATCACATGGCGGAGCTCGACCATGCACTTCACTACCTCGTCAGCACCCCGACGATCGGTCTAACCTACCACAAGACCGGAACTACGACACACAAGCTAATCGGTTATGTGGATGCTAATCACGCCGGCGACTCCGACAACAGGCGATCGCGCACCAACTACCTCTACCGACTCGAACCTATCGGCCCCATCTCGTGGCAGTCGAGCAAGCAAGAACTAATTGCTCTTTCCTCAGCTGAAGAAGAATATATCGCACTCTGCTCAGGCACCAAGGAAGGATTGTACCTTCGCGAACTACTGGAAGAAGCAAAGCTGGCTCAGTTACCCAGCTTCTCCATGTTCTGCGACAACCAATCGGCCATTCGCATAGCGAACAAGAACGGGTTCGCGAATCGAACGAAACACATCGTCCTCCGGTACTTCTTCGTAAAAGGCAGAATCGAGAAGGGGAGACGCAAGCTATCCTACTGTCCCACATCCGAGATGGCAGCCGATTACTTGACCAAGAAACTCGGATAGCAGAAGTTCGAGTATTGCATGGTGCTGACTGGACAAGGCCACGTCATCAGCATCGACACTCCAGAAGCGAAGGGGAGTGTTGGAAACAAGTAATTTAACGCTTCTGTTGTGTCGAAACAATAGACTGCAAATGAGGCGAATCACAGTGGAGCAACGGCGAGTCAACCGAGGAGGTTGACAGAAAGTAACAGCTGGAGGTTACACGAAGGTCAAAGGTCAGCGACCTTTGACTCGACAAAGTACAGCGCGACAGCAAGGACAAACAACTGACTCGGTATTGAGCAGTTGCTCGAGTCGTTACTGTATCGAACCGCAACAGCAAAACAGTTAGATGCACCTTTTCATATTCCTTGTAATCATATAAATAAACCTTTGTATTGCCCTGGTATAATCAATCTCTTGCTCTCACACACTAGTGCAAGTTGGTTCAACAAGTTCACTAATAAGAACGCTTTCGCAACTAAAACATTCCTACTCAGGGTCTTAACCTTGAAAGATCCTAAGGGCTTTTCTCTGCCCAACACCAACCGAGGTCTCCTCGCCTCCAACTATTCGTGCACACATTACAATACAAGGCCACTGTGATGAGAAGTCTATCAGGTCTCATCAGCCTAGTAATTATTTCTTGCCTTTTCACACCATCGCTACATTGTTTGTTCCAAAGGGAGACGTGGAGCGAATAATTAGAAACAGAGAAACATACCGTAACATGCAAAGAAGAATTGAAGTCTATGGTACACGAGACGATAATCATTGCACAATACAGAAACTTTAAAATCCCCCCTCCCCCCCCCCCCTACACTTGGTCTTCCACACCGCCATCTAACTTTCATTCCTGCCTTCCGAGCAACCACACCACATGCAGCCACTTGCACCTCTTCTCTGCTGTTGAGTAACACGGCCTCTTGAGAGCACATATTGAAGCCTTGAATCGCCTTCACGCGGATCCAGCTCATTTGGCTGAGTGGGTGGATGGGTGGTGGGAAGCGAAGAGCAGTATGAGAGTCAATGGAATGCCGTCCAGGCATGACTACATGGAGATGGAAGACCGTAGAGAAACGAGGAAGCACAAGGGCGGTGCAGGAGTGGGTCAACGAGAATAGGATGCAAGGCGGTTGTGATGGTAGAGGTTGTGAGCGAGGGGGGAAGCGCATGCACGAGGTTAACTGGAGCTGGGCACGCATGGAAGAGAGAAATATCGCGAGAGCATACGCGTCTCCCTCGCTCTTACGAGTGCACTTGTTGTTGACCAGCTGGAACCCCGTGCTGCACTGACACGCCGGCTTGCCCTTAACCGCCATGCACTGGGCATTGGCAGAGCAGCCAGGCTTGCACACGGCTGTGAGGTGGGTGGGGTGGGTGAGAGAGAGGGGAAGAATGAAAGTAAAAGTGAGGAAGAGATGAAGGGAATCGAGCAGAGGCAGCATACACAGCATATGTTTGCAAGTGGGTGGTAAGGTTTTGGAAGAGAGGGAAGAGCATGGGGTTCACTGGAGCTTCACAGGCATGGAAGAGAAAATGAAGAGCAATCTCCCTCTCTTACGAGTGCACTTGTTGTTGACTGACTTGAACCCCGTGTTGCACTGACACGCCGGCTTCCCTTTCACCGCCATGCACTGGGCATTGGCAGAGCAGCCAGGCTTGCACACGGCTGTCAAATGGGTGCGTTGGGTGCGAGAGATGGGAAGGATGGTGGATGAGCGGGGAAGGGCCGAGGGATTACATTACAGCGCAGCAAACACAGATGACAAAAGCTTCATTCACGCGTGGTGTTCTGCAGGTGGAAATTATGGGAGTGACACAAACACGAGGATAGCACATTTGTCCTCGCCCTTACGAGTGCACTTGTTGTTGATGGACTTGAATCCCGTGCTGCACTGACACGCCGGCTTCCCTTTCACCGCCAGGCATTGGGCATTGGCACCGCAGGTAGGCTTGCACACAGCTGTCAGACGGGTGGGTCGGGTGGGAGAGATGGGAAGGTTGGAGGGTGAGAGGCAACGAGATGGAACACCGCATGGTGGCAAGCAAGCAGGCGGGGAATGAGAACGATTCATGGTGGCGAAAGACACCAGCTCTCCTCGCAATATGATGATGAGAGGGGAAAGACAATGAGCAGTGGAGCGGTTGGAGAACGGGGGCTTGAATCACTCGCTGCACGATACAACGGGGGCTCGCTCTCCCTCGCTGCACAATACAATGGGGGCTCGCTCTCCCTCGCCCTTCTGCCCTTACGTGTGCACGTGCTCTTGCCCTGCCGGAAGCCCGCCTTGCAGCGACACACGGGCTTCCCTCCCACCACCACGCACTGGCCATTGGCAGGGCAGTCCGGCTTGCAGATAGCTGGTGTGGTGCGAGGTGGTGCGTGGAGGAGAGGGGAAAGAGCATGAGGCTGAGTGGGGCAGCAGACGAGGAGGAAGGAGCGCCCGTGTGAGGGCCAAGAGGACGCCACACAATAGCACACACACACACACTCAAGCTGGGCTGACATGAAGCACTGTGATTTCATGTGCTGCCTCTAGGTGTGGGGCTGCCTCTAGGTGTGGGGCTGCCTCTGGAGCTCGTGCGGAGACAATCAGAAAAAATAACAGAACCCTTGTAGATCTCACCAGTGCAGAGGCCCTTGTTGGCCTTGGTGTAGCCAGCATCACACTCGCACACGGGCTGCCCGTTCCTCACCACGCACTGCGAGTTCCTCGCACACTTCACTGCCTCACACGGGTCCGCGCCTCCGCTAGGGTTTGGGTCTGCCGTGGGTGGGGGCGGGAAGGAGTGAGATGATGATTATTTGTGAGGAGGTTCGGCCTGGCTTCTCAACTGGAGGAGGTTCGGCCTGGCTTCTCAATGGAGGAGGTTCGGCCTGGCTTCTCAATGGAGGAGGTTCGGCCTGGCTTCTCAATGGAGGAGGTTCGGCCTGGCTTCTCAATGGAGGAGGTTCGGCCTGGCTTCTCAATGGAGGAGGTTCGGCCTGGCTTCTCAATGGAGGAGGTTCGGCCTGGCTTCTCAATGGAGGAGGTTCGGCCTGGCTTCTCAATGGAGGAGGTTCGGCCTGGCTTCTCAATGGAGGAGGTTCGGCCTGGGGAGTTCATCTTTCTGCCTGCACACAAGGACGGCTGATGGGGCAGCTACTCGTCGTTGGGTACATGCAATAGCAGACAGAGCGACATACCAGGGGTGGGGCCGGGCGACTTGCTGGTGCAGCGCTTGTGCGCCCTCGTCGAACACCTGGCTCCAGGGGCACTTGCACTCAGACCACGCCGTCCCTCACCACGCACTGTGCAGTGCCGCAGTCCTTGTGACACGTGGCTGTTGTTGACAGCACCGCACCAGCCAGGCATGTAGGGGGAAGGGGTGAATGGGGTCAATAAGGCATGGCATGATACGGGGAGGCGGAGAATCAAGTGCAAAGAGCTGTGCGTGTCTCCAACTATTCGGAACCCGAGGTGAGGTGCCTGACCTCCTTCGCAATGTGCACTTCATGCGTTCAGAGTGAAGGTGCTGATACTCCAACAACTATGCGCATGCGGCCCGGACAAATTAAAAGGTTTCTCGCGGCGTGAGGCATCTATGGAATGGGGAGGCAGCGAATCGAGTGCAGAGAGCAGTGCCTGTGTGTTCACCTTGCTTAACCAGAAGAGAGGTGAAGGTGCTTGAACCTCCTTGCCTATGTGCACTTGCTGCATTCACAGTGACGGTGAAGACACTCCAAGGGCTATGCGCATGTGCCCGGGACAAGTTTCTGCGCTCGCACTTACCGATCTCACAGCTGATTGACTGCGGTGGGGTTGCTTTCACAGTCCTGCGAGTGAGGCGCAAAGGGGAGGGCACACCACAGAGGACACCGTTGAACAAGACAACTTTACTGACTGGCATGCTTCCTTCGAAACACAAGCAGCACAGCAGACAAAACCACAGTGCCGTCGCTCACCTTTTTGTGACGGGGAAGGCACCGCCGACCATGGCAGGGCGCGCGATGGTCAATCCTGCCTTGTCCGCACAGCCGGGGTCGGAGTGAAACGAGAGGCTCTTGCACATGCCGGTGCCCACAGTGTCCACGCCAACCGACTTCCACTCCACGCTGATCCGCGTGCTGCTGCCCCCGCCCAGATCACCCACGTCGCTGCACGCCATGGCGCCAGTGGCGTGCGCCATGGGCACGGGGCTCTCGAAGGTGAGGAGCGCGAGGTAGGTGAGCCCCTCCACCTCCACCTGCGTCTGCAGCAGCCCATCTGCACCGTGGGCGCCGCACGTTGTTGTTGTGGTGATGCCCAGGATTCAGTGCCGTCGAGTTGTTGCAGCAGAGGGGGGAGAGAGCGGAATGCAAAGGCAAGAGGGTGTGGGGTGGGGTGTGGGGGAAATGAGGGGCGGAAGCGAACATGGATGAGGCGCGTGATGTTTCAGGGCCTCTCAGGGGGGCCTCTCAGGGGGGCCTCTCAGGGGGGCTTCTCAGGGGGGCTTCTCAGGGGTTACTGTTGTTGAAGCGTGAGACGTGGGAAGATGTGATTGCGTGGAGGCGGTTGAGTCTCACCAGTGCAGGTGTTGTTCTGCAGGATGTACCCCATCTCGCACTCGCACTCCGCCTTGCCCCTCCTCGCCACGCACTCCGCCCTCGCTGGACACTGCACCGCCACATCCGCGCACGGATCTGCCACGGGCATGAGGGGGGAAGGAGAGGGTGGAAGTAATAATGAGGGGGGAAGTCAAGGAGCAAAAGATACTGAATGGCAGGTGGCTGTAAACTCTGGGCAGGCGACGGGCAGCTCACTGAGACATTCAGCCATGCAGCCGATAGTGCATCAGTGCCACACTCCCACCACTCACCATTGCATGTCTTGTCTGTTACGTTGAAGACATAACCCCCGTCGCACAGGCACTCCGTGCTGCCATCATCGGCCGCAGAGCAGAAGGCGACTGACCCGCAATCCACGGTGGCACACGCGTCTGCAGGGTAGTCGAGGCGGTTTCGAGATGAAGCAGAGCAGGCGGGTTGGAAAGGTAAGAAATTGCACTCACCCACACCCCTGCGCTGCGCTCACGCGCACCCCAACACTCACGCACGTACTTTCCGACACCACCCACAAACAAGAGCAAGAGCATTGTAAGAACGAGTGCAACCAAAAAGAGTGGTCAAAATCAAGCGGATGAGCGAGCAAGAGTGAACGCGAGTCACTGGGAGTGGCGATAGTGGGAGCACGACGGCGCTCACCTGCGCTGGCGTGGGTCGCGAGGAGGCTGATCGCAGCGAGCCCGGCGACGAGTGCGACGACGCCAACGACAGACGGCCGTCCGCGGCGAGCCATGACGACAAGCAGGCCCACGGCGAACGGGCTTCAACCTCTTTCCAGGCCGCGCGCCGAAGAGTCGAACCTTCGTGAATAAGTGTTGTAGTGCCGGCGGTGATACCTGGTGCTGGATTACGAGCGATTGAGAGGAATGAGCTAGGTGCGATCGACAGGAGGAGCGAGACGCGGTAAGGTGAGAGAGGCGGTGAAAGGGAAGGAGAAGAAGTGCAACTGTGAGTGCTAAGACGCACATAGGCGATTTTATTTGCTGAGAGCGAGTAGCGAGAGCGAGTCGCGAAGGGCACAACACTACTCGTGGCGGGCTATCCGCAATAATGCATCAGGAATTTGTGGCGGAAGGGCGGGGGGCGGCGAGGTGGCGCAGCAGCGACCGTCGTCGGAGGCGAGGCCCATCGGCGTGCATTCGCTCGAGCCATGCCCGATGGGTGCGCAAATGCATTAGCGCGATGGGCGGAGGTCGATGGGCAGAGCGGGATGCGCGGAGGTCGATGGGTGGAACGCGATGAAGGAACGACATGGAATATTGCAACGGGAGAAACGGAGGGCTGCACAAGCGGATGAGAGGGGGTGACGATGAAGTTGAGGATGGAGCAGCGAAAACTTGAACATGAACGAATTTTGTTTTTTGCGCCTAAGAAAGTAGGTCACGACACTTGCGACAGACGTAACCTGCTTTCTGACCGTCTTCGCTAGTTTCCACACGTCCTTGCTGCTCAGCTGAGAACGCGTTTCACCGCGGAAGGCGCTGGGATGAGGTGGGGTGTAGGGGTCGTTCATTTCGGAAATGTAATACATTATATTTGTTAGGCCCCTTGGCCTAAATCCGCTAAAGAATAGCGGGGCTGAATATATTGAAGAAAAAACGCGGCGGAAGACTTTGGTGGAGGAAGTCCTTAGCGAAATATGTGAAGAAGTAACTGACTGAAGATTAAATGATATTAGCAAATACAAGCAAGGTTGATATAGTATGCAACAGCAATTGTCGAAAAGTAGTTTGTGGGACTAGGAATGGGGAATGCAAGAAAACTAGAGTGCCACGTGGCATGCTGGAAATCCTGGAAATTTGAAAGGATAAGTTTGGGATGGGGTTCGGAACACTGTTTAGGGTGATTAGCCCTTGAACAGTAAAGTACCCCGTAACACTACCCCCTCCTAAGTGTTGGGAACAATAAGTCTTAAAGCGCCTCTGTCGTGTCGAAACTCAGGACACAAGCGAAGCAGTCCAAATCGAAGCATCGCGAGTCAACCCTCGGAGGTTAGGGTAACCGCATGGAGGTTACGCGGAATGTCAAAAAGTCAGCGACCTTTGACTTGACAAATACAGCGCGACAGCAAGGACAAACAACTGACTCGACATTGAGCAGTTGCCCGAGTCGCACTGTATCGAATCGCAACAGCAAAACAATTTAATTCTATCTATTCGTATTCCTTGTACTCTCATATAAAGCCTTGTATTTGCTTGTTTTAATCAACTCACTTTGCCCTCACATACTAGCGCAAGGTGGTTCAAGGACTTTTCATTCAAACGCTTCCGCTATTACAATCCTACTCAGACTTTAACTCTACAAAGATCCTAGGGCATCTCAGCCCAACATGGTATGAGAGCAGATAGAGTTCAAAGTTACTTTTTCTCTTAATACTTAATACAAGGAAAGACATGTCTACTAGGAAGGAGAGAAGCTCCTCCAACGGTTCTCCAGGCACTACCCCTACTCCACCTCCTGTCTCTGGTCTACAGACGGAAGAAGGGACTACCACGAGACCAGCAGCTGGGTCTACGGAAACGCCCGCAGGCTTCGATCCAAGCATGATGGAGAATTCTTCTCCTTCATGTCCTTCTACGAGCAGCACCAGCAAGGAGTACCTGCGCAGTCAAACAACAGCAACAACAACAACGTAACTCCTATGAGTCTCGACGGCTCATCCTACGCACGCGGAATTCAACAACAACAACAGCAGCCTACCTTTGCGCCGTACGAGCCCCAGCGTGGCTCCGTCAGCTTCATGCCGCAACCGCAATCTGCACCGGGACAAGAAAGGGCATTGGACGCATTACAAGTTCAATCGCAATTCGCGCATGTTCTCAAGCTGCAAATGACAAAGCCTTTCGACGGAAAGACTTCTTCACCTGGTCGTTCGAGTTCGAACTGATGATGGAAGGAGCACAGATTCTCGGCTTCTTCGACGGGTCCCTGCCATATCCAACAAACGGGACAAGATATGAGAAGCAGCAGTACACCTATCAATCAATGATGGCGTACACGATACTGCTAAGAAACATCACCCCGACCCAGCAGCAGAACATCAGGACTTACCGAGGCTACGGCAACTCCGCGGAGCTCGCGTACAACCACCTGAAGAACCTGTATCAAGCAACAGACAGCGTAAATCAAAGCAGGTAAATGGCGCAGTTGACAACAATTGAAATGAAACCAGGCGAGAAAGGCATGGCTTATATTAGCCGCTGCCGGCGAACTGCGCGACAAGCTTCTTCGATGTGGAGGGTCGATTTCAGAAGACGCCTTTGTCACGGTGGTCATCGGCGGTCTCAGCCCCCACTGGCGCTCCACTCGCGCCATATTACGAGCACACGGGAGGATTTCCGAAGCGGCACTCTGCGCGGAAATTCATGCCGAGCAACAGGACATGGACCTGCAAGAAGAAAGACACAAGAAGAAAACATTAGCACCGGGTTTTTGCGTTTCACACTCATCAGCGACGATACAACAACAACAACAATCGACAACAGCAACAAGTGAAGACGGTACCTCCGTTTTGCCACATCTGCAAGACTTCGGGACACCCTCGCACGCACTGCCCGTCTCGTCAGACAACACCACAGCGACAACTCCGGCCTTCAAGCTCCCAAGTTGCCTCAAACAAAAGCAAATCCGACGACCTCAATCCAGCTTCAACGACTCCAACAGGACAATCTGCACAAGGAGCAAGAACATTGTCAATTGCATGGTGAAGATA